GCAGTACTCTATGCAAAATCACTAAATTATATGATTCATGTTACGATAGAACGCTAGAACGGCAGTACTCTATGCAAAATCACTAAATTATATGATTCATGTTACAATAGAACGCTAGAACGGCAGTACTCTATGCAAAATCACTAAATTATATGATTCATGTTACGATAGAACGCTAGAACGGCAGTACTCTATGCAAAATCACTAAATTATATGATTCATGTTACGATAGAACGCTAGAACGGCAGTACTCTATGCAAAATCACTAAATTATATGATTCATGTTACGATAGAACGCTAGAACGGCAGTACTCTATGTAAAATCATTAAATTATACGACTCATGTTACGATAGAACGCTAGAACGGCAGTACTCTATGCAAAATCATTAAATTATGATTCATGTTACGATAGAACGCTAGAACGGCAGTACTCTATGTAAAATCATTAAATTGTACGATTCATGTTACGATAGAATGCTAGAACGGCAGTACTCTATGCAAAATCATTAAATTGTACGATTCATGTTACGATAGAACGCTAGAACGGCAGTACTCTTTGCAAAATCATTAAATTGTACGATTCATGTTACGATAGAACGTTAGAACGGCAGTACTCTATACAAAATCACTAAATTATATGATTCATGTTACGATAGAACGCTAGAACGGCAGTACTCTATGCAAAATCATTAAATTATATGATTTTATTGTCGTGTTTGGTGTAACCGAATCATAGCAATCAGAGGCAAGCTTCACACTATAATAAATTTAATTTTGACAAGTGTGCTCCAGCGGTTCCGTTACATTGCCGCGCCAGACTTATTGGCGCTGAGTATCACACTTTAAATATGCTTTTCCGTATAAATCGCAACAGATGTGACAAATAGTTGTCATATTTGATGTCATTGTTATGATAGCACGCGTGCTTTAAAATTTTTTTTCAACAACGCCGCTTATTTTGGGCATTGTATATGCAGCACAACGAATAATTAATCACTGCACCTCGTATAATGTCTCAAGCACCGCGTATGATGTTGAAATCACAGCAAGTAGTTACAGCACTGCGTATAATGATAAAACCACTGCGTATAATGATAAAACCACTGCGTACAGTCAATGCTCAAGGTATCGCATATGATGTCTCAAGCACCGTATATAATGCTAAAAGCACCTTGTATGTCTCAAGCATGGCGTATATTATGAAATGTCTCGAGCACCGTGTATATAATGTTAAAAGCACCTTGTATAATGTTGCGTGTAGCCAATATATAATGTCAAAATCATCGTGTATAATGCTCGAACTCGAAGCAACTTGTATAATGTAGAGAGCACCTCGTATAATAGATAAAAGCACCACATATATAATGCTAAAAGCACCAAATGAAATGAAATTCTGCTATGGCTTTCCATAAGGTTCGTCACGCTTGTTGAAGCCATTGTATACAAATCACAAAAGCAATATATCAAATATGAGATGGATGACCTACCACCGTCACAGTCATGAATACTTGCGCAGAAAGCTTCGTCAGAAAGGTTTGAATATTAACAACCTCTGCCTTCATAAAATAGCGGGACTTCGGCATTAAAAACAACCATTCTGCACATGCGCTGCGCCAATTATCCAACCAGAAACCGGAATTTCTTGTATAAGATTGATTAAGATGGTATTGCATATTCCGCCACATGAAAATCAGCGGAACACGAGACATGCGATTCATGAATTGCGCAAGCGAGCAACAAATTGCATGGAAATTAGCTAATTCTGCAGGGTATCAGTTGCTAGACAACAAAGAGGTCAAAGAGCAGACAGCAATATTGCATAAACTTTAAATAAATGACAAATGAAAGCACTGAAAATGATCATAATTAATATTTAATTTGTTTGCGATGTTACTCTGAGTGCATATCCACACCGGGCGAGCTTGAAAAATATGGCCGGCCACGGTGGGATTCGAACCTACGACCTTTGGAATACTAGCCCAATGCTCTTCCAACTGAGCTACGCGGTCAGGACGGTTCGAGTAAGTGATATTTCGGAACAGTATCTAGTTCCTTCAATACCAATGTGTTCTAGTAATATGAATGTTTTCTGTGTTGGTGTTGTGTATTCAGCCACCCACCATGGCCGGGCTATCCCACCGTGGCCGGGCTATCCCACCGTGGCCGGGCATATTTTTCAAGCTCGCCCGGTGTGGATATGCACTCAGAGTAACATCGCAAACATATTATTCACCTGAGTACACAACACCAACACAGAAAAATTCATATTACTAGAACACATTGGTATTGACGGAACTAGATACTGTTCCGAAATATCACTTACTCAAACCGTCCTGACCGCGTAGCTCAGTTGGAAGAGCATTGGGCTAGTATTCCAAAGGTCGTAGGTTCGAATCCGACAGTGGCCGGGCATATTTTTCAAGCTCGCCCGGTGTGGATATGCACTCAGAGTAACATCGCAAACATATTCACCTGAGTACACAACACCAACACAGAAAAAATTAATATTTAATTGATTTTGGCTTCAGTATAAAACATTTAGTCATTTTTTTGGAAATTGTTAGTCCCGCCCGGCGGGACAGCGGGACCGCTGGCTACGCCACTGCTAACATCTCAAGTATGGAAAACATCTACATTACCAGCAACTTAATTGAGGATTGATTCAAAATTCAGGCGATAAAGTTACATAGCTAGGAGGTGGCTTTTGTGCTCTTCGAATATCAGTTTTCATTTGCGGATTACCACAACTTGTTGGTCTCATGGGTGCCAAAATCGACATAAATGTAAACTGCTAACCAAGAGCTATAAAACAAATAGCTTTTCAAAAAGATAAACTTTATTCAGTCATAAGGATGAGGGTAAATAAACATGCTACTGTGTGATAGTGATTTTGAAGCAACTTTGTCACATGTATTTTAAAAAGTGTGATAATAAATCAAATTTTGCTTTTTGCAATCCCAAAAAGGTATGAAAATTATTTAAATATTTAAGGTTTCCGTAATTATAAAGTATTTTTTTGAGAAAAGTAAAAATTTTCCTGATAAAAAAGCATAGTTTCTGCAGAAAACTGTTTTCTGATAGAGAAGATCCTGGGGGAGGGGGTGTAGAAGTGTGGGCAGATAGCAAAAAACCTTGACCTTTCCTCCAAAAAAATTAATACCAAATTTTGTTTTGCCTTTGTTTGATATGTAATTTAAATAAGTTTTTTTTACATCTAAAAATTGCCCCTAGTGGTATTGGCCATTTGTTTACTTTTGGGGATCAAAGTTTGAGGTCCAATTATTTTTTTAAAGTTTGTAAACTACCCAGCTAATTCTTGGCTGTTGTTTGCAGCCTTGTATGCTGATTAAATTTAGTTTAGTCCACAATAGTACATCCTTTCAATGAAGGGAAATTCAAAATAGTATATTTGATTACTTTTACAGCACAGTCAGTACATACAATCAGTGACAAAACACTTTGGACAAAATAGCAAAAGAGCGTACATTTACAACATAATCGACCCCCCGCACCCCCCATTCAATGTTGTGTGTGGAAATACCTGCGCAAAATGTTCCTTGCCAGCCACCCAACATTGTTTAGGGTGGGGGAGGGAGAGATAGTGGCTTTATGCTGAACAGTATTTGGAAATGCGGAGATATGTATATATTATACCACTGTCCAAAAAACTTTTGTCACTGATTGTATGCAACTGGCACAATATTGTATCATAAATATCAAGTATTTATTACATGTTCAGCCTTGATTAAAAAGTTTAAATTTACCAAGTACCTGAACAAGTGCTTACCCATTATTTGGCTGGTCGGCTCATAATAAAGTAATTTCAGTTAAGCGTGATATAGGTATAAATTCATACAAGTATAAATGGGTTAAAATGTAGGGTTGGGGAAACCATCCCTTATACTGTGATGCGAGTTTTTGCAGGTCTTAGAAGGTGACACGGTTCATTTTCCAGCCCCGAAAAATCAGATGAGCAAATATATTGTTCTCGAGAGGGACACGCCATTCTTTGCAACGAGTGACGCCCCACTTATTTTAATTAACAATGGATCTATTGATCGCGTGAACACAGAAATGATGAATGTAAGATGGCGAATGTTTCCGCTTCATAGACAAATTCCGTGGGATGAACAAAGAAACATTGCGGCTTGCGCTCGTTGCTTTGCTGAGTTAATATTATACACTGAACAGTGATCTATAATGATGTATTTTAATTTAACGTAGGCTACATTAAGGTGTTAACAAATATGTATTCTGGTCATCCCTAACTAAGTGGCTTATGACGCATCAACGAATCCCACATGAATCCCAGTCACATTTTATGTAGAAAAGGGAATTAAGTTCAACAATTCTTGCTGTTTTTCTCTCTTAAGCTTATTGTAAATATGTCAAAGGAATTGATTATGTGGTTAACTTTGAGCGAAATCAATTTGATTCCATGAAATTCCGACTTTCGTCGAACAATTCCCAATATTTATAGTAAGTTGAAATATGACATAATTAGTAAATAGAAAAGTAGGATTCGTCGACTTTTAACCCATTTTCTCTGTCTTTTATAACGAAATGCACGCGTATTTGAAGCCAAAGTATTAATGTATTCCTTACGCACGCAACTGTGTGTTTAAATTCCCAACAACGATCATATATATGTGAGAAAATATGGAAATTATTACGCGAACATGTGTGGGATTCGTTGATACAGAAATATGATATACAATCTGTTGTCATAGTAACTTTGTCAGTATTTTGTTCTAAAGCCGTCAGCCTGCAATACAGCATGTATTCGCTTGGGCATGCTTGTGATAATATTATTTACATAATCTACAGAAACATTATATAAAGTTGATTTTTTTTTTCTGTGCTGGTGTTGTGTACTCAGGTGAATAATATGTTTGTGATGTTACTCTGAGTGCATATCCACACCGGGCGAGCTTGAAAAATATGCCCGGCCACGGTAGGATTCGAACCTACAACCTTTGGAATACTGGCCCAATGCTCTTCCAACTGAGCTACGCGGTCAGGACGGTTCGAGTAAGTGATATTTCGGAACAGTATCTAGTTCCTTCAATACCAATGTGTTCTTGTAATATGAATTTTTTTTTCTGTGCTGGTGTTGTGTACTCAGGTGAATAATATGTTTTGTGATGTTACTCTGAGTGCATATCCACACCGGGCGAGCTTGAAAAATATGCCCGGCCACGGTGGGATTCGAACCTACGACCTTTGAAATACTAGCCCAATGCTCTTCCAACTGAGCTACGCGGTCAGGACGGTTCGAGTAAGTGATATTTCGGAACAGTATCTAGTTCCTTCAATGCCAATGTGTTCTTGTAATATGAATTTTTTCTGTGCTGGTGTTGTGTACTCAGGTGAATAATATGTTTGTGATGTTACTCTGAGTGCATATCCACACCGGGCGAGCCCGAAAAATATGCCCGGCCACGGTGGGATTCGAACCTACGACCTTTGGAATACTAGCCCAATGCTCTTCCAACTGAGCTACGCGGTCAGGATGGTTCGAGTAA